AGGAAACCATCAAATTTTCAAGAGAAAAAGAATAAAAGAAGGAGAACTGAAGAGGATAGGAAGAAGAAGAAGAAGTAGGAAGAGAAAGTTAATAGAAATTGGAGGAAAACTAGAAAATTTTTGGAGAAATAGGTATGGTCTAGTTGTTTAATTTTATTCATTTTTTTATATGTTTTTGGATAGTTCTAGAGTAGGTTTTGATCATTATTTTCATGGTTGGATTCTTGAAATCTTAGCTTAAAAGACTTTGATTAAAGTTGGATTATATGATGAAATTGTTGTTTTTGAAGTAAATTTGGTATGTTTCTTGCTTTTGGACGATAATTATGTTTGGTTTTGATTATTTGATGTTGGAAAATTACATAATGGAAGATGATTTTGGTGGGGGAAGATGCGGCCCTAAGGGTGAAGAAAAGGATAAAATGGAAATTTTCTACAAAATCCAAGGGCAAAATGGTTATTTCACTCCTTAGGGATAAATGAAATTTTTGGAAAATACTGATGGTAGAGTGGTTATTTTATTAATAACTAGGGGCATGAAAGACATAATAGAAAATGTTCAAGGGTATAGTTGGAATTTTATAAATTAAGTAGGGGTATAACTAAAACTTTATAAAATAAGTAGGGATAAAATTGAAAATTTAAGAAAAAACTAAGGGAAAAATATGGATATTATAAAACAATTAGGAACATAATTGAAATATAGAAAATCAATTAAGGAGTCATAGAATGGTAGAAAATAATTAAAGGCATAAATGATATATTAGAAATGAACCAAGGATAATATTAGAAATAGTAATTAAAATTAGGAGGTAGAATTGGAATATTAGAAAATAATCACATGTTTAATTAAAATTTTGGGATAACATTTTAAGTATATTAGAAAATAAAATTTAAAATAAAATATGATTTTAGTTTATTAATTAGTTGAAAATAAAAAATCATTTAATTTACTAGATGTATTTAAAGTTTCATGAATTGATTTGACTTGATTTATTACTAAAATAATGAATTGCTATAATGCAATGATGTACTAAATGGACATGATCCAGAGTGTGACTTTTGAGTCAAAAGAATTTTGGGAGGAAAAGAAAAGAATTTGTGAATTTTTTTGAAAATATTTTATTTTACTATCAAGGACAGTTGATAGTAAAAGAAATGAGAAATAAGGTTTTTGATAAAAAGTTTGATTGAAATTTTTTCTTTAAATTTACTATCAAGGGCATTTGGCAGTGTGATGTGACAATGACATTGATGAAGGATGGTGAAAACAAGAATGAGATGGTATGTGGAATATGAATTTGAGATTGAGTTATTGATGCTAGTGATAGTAAATGGGATTGAGTGAAATGAGTAGGACAAGACCTATAATCTAGAGGGTTGGACCTTTAGTCTAAAGAGTGTTGGGGTATGGGCAACCCCACAAATAATCAATTTTTATTTGATTTTGTGGTGTGGTAACTTGTCGGATGCATTGACACTCTGACTACTATTTACTTGTTCGCATTTAATGTGACATTGTTGAATTACTAAACAAAGTGATGTTGCGCTGTAACTTCACTAAACACTCAGGAGGAAAAATCTTCATGGTGTGCTGAGTCAAAATGATTTTTAAAAATATTTTGAGTCAAAACCTACATTTCAAAAGCATATTGCATTTTTTTAAACATTTAGCAATAATAAATTAATTATCTTGTTGTATGTCTATTATAATTTGTATGATTTTTTATATATGGTTGTATGATTTGTTTGTGTGACATGGATGAAATTAAATGTCCAACTCCTTAAATATTTTAAATCTGGATACTGGGGATCTCATGATGCAGGGAAGTTAAAGGTGCAATTAGAGGTTTAGATCCAAAAATCCAGAGTTTAGGATGGAGACTTTTATTACATTAAGTTATGATATATGTATAAAAAAAATGGTTTGTAATATTTAGTAACTTTTATATAACAGAACATTATTTGATATAGATAAAAAAAAATTCAATTTATTTTAGAATCCTTCTATTTGCCATCATAATATTATTTATATTATTAATAATCAAAATAATTAATCCGGATTAATGTTCAAAATATGGAAGGGGTTACACTTTTCATTTGTTATGCACCTTTTCATACTCATCTTATAATAAGACATGAATTATAAAATTTATAACTTTAGAATTTAAGAGGTATTTTTTTTTATTCAAGTAGATCTTGAAAGCTTAATACTTATTTCGTTAGTTGGAACATTGTTGTCATTTTTTTTACCATGTTCCACTTTTCAATAGGACATGTATCAAAAAAATGCAATCAAATTTTTTTTCTTTGCTTCTAGTAGACAAAGTTTTGACCTTTAAAGAATGATGATCTTGTAGATTATCCTTCATTGTCTATAGTATCATATATGATATTTACTTTTGCATTGCTAGATGCTCAAACCTTTAGGTCGAATTTTGATACCAATTAAAGTAAAAAAAGTAACAAATGATAAAAGAGATTAAATTATGTGTTATATAATAAACATGTTTTGGCACTAGTACAAAAATAGGATTTTACGTCACTCCATTTACGTCAAAACTCCCAAAATACGTCGTTATAAATACGCAGTGGCATTATTGTAAATAAAAGCTAACTAATTTACGTCGGACAAGGGGGGGTTCGACGTAAATTATACATTCTACGTCAGGCACAATTACCCTCCGTCGTAGATTGCATAATTTACGTCAGATCCCCCCTTGTCCGACGTAAATAATGCACATGACTGCCCTTAAAAGAAGGTCACTAGCTGGAGATTTGGACAGATTTCAAAAACTTCTTCCCCCGCGCGTTGAAATCCCTCCGCCTCCTACTCCTTCCTTCCTTATAATTTTTCTGACATTTCAGTCTCCATTCATACGACAAATGGGTGAGGAAGCAAAGACAGGTGATATTTCCTAGTGAAACTTTTTTTCTTACTGATAGTGTTATAACTTGTTCTACATTAATTAGTTCTTGTACTTATTATGTGTGTTACTTTTTATATTTTAAGTAGGAACAACCAGTGGATGAAGCCAAGCTTGAGGAGAACAGAGAAGAGAAGCCAGAGGCAAAACCAGCAGAGGAAAATAAGGAGGAGAGCCAAGTCCAGGTTGCAGCACGAGTCGTTCTGCTTGCAGTCATTTTTTTTTTTTACAACTTTTTACGTTGAATTTGTTATGTTTGACGTAAATTTACGTCGATTTTTTACATGCGACGTAAATTTACATCTCCCGCTTCCACGTCGCACGTTTTTTCGACGTAAAATTTGTAAAATAACCGACGTAGAATGTGTATTTTGTACTAGTGTGGTCATAGCACCCACAAAAAGATTTTCACAAGAGAAAATGTAAAGGAGATAAGCAAAGAAAAGTAGTGCACACATAGATTTATCTCTTCAACAAGAACTATATCCAATCCATTTAACATGAAAGATTTCCCCATAACAAACCTTGTTACAACCAAGTATTTAATTATCTCTTCAGGCAACATCTTGATCTCATCCTAAAGATCTCTTAACCTAAGTATTCTTCCTAGCCTTTTTAGGATCTACACTTGCAATAATGTCAACTAGATATTACTTACAAAAATGTATATAAGAAAGTTACTCACTCAAATAAGCTTACAATATTAAGTGCAAATATACAACTTGATAATACAAAATATAAATCACAAAATACAAGTGGGTGTCTAACAGATCATCCATTGAAAACTTAAAGCTTTGAAGAAATTCACATTCTTAAAGAATTAATTTTTCAAGTCCAATCAGTGTCTTCAATCTTCTCGAGTCCTCTATATATTGTTCATACATGAAAAATTTTATTTATAGACAACGTTCTTTCTGTTTGAAATACATTAAATGCAAAGGTGACTCTTCACATAGCTTTAGTGGAGAGAGAGTCTCACATGTTCAATTGAAGTGACAATTTATATCAAGAAGGTATATCTCTTCTAACATGAATAAGACGGGTTTCTACGTTATCATTTTGTTCAGTTATTCTTCCTTTGTCATGATAAAGTTATTTCAATTTTTGAGCTTGAGAATATCAACAATCAACTTAAAATTCGATTATAAATAAATACACAAATATTCAAGCATATGCAAAACACAAATCATTTAATTGATTTTCATAAAATGTTTCTTTGAACAAAGATTTGTATGAGAAATAAGAAATTATACCTTTTCAAAATATCTTTATATGAGAAATTTCAAATGTTTTATCTTTGGAAAAATATGGATGCTTAAATAGTTTTTGGTACTCTAAATTTGAAATAAACTTATTTTTAGACTCTATATTTAAAATTAATATTTTTTAATATTTAGTAATTTCACCAAATACCAATTGATGTTACATAATATGTTACTGCTACATATAGTTTTAAAGAACTAAAATAAGATTTTATTTTAAGGTTTAATACTTCATTTAGACTATGAACTTCTTAAATTTTTTTAAATAAGCTCCTAAACTAAAAAAACTTATAATTAAATCCTTCATCTTTTTTACTTTTTGTAATTTAATCTTTATAGTTAAAAATTTGTTTACTATTGATAAAATTTTACAAAATATTCTTGATATATATGGATAATTACACAAAATAATAATCTAATATAGTTGTTGAAGTATATAGATATTAAAAATATTTTATAAATTTTATGAATTTTAATTGAATTTTTAACCACGCATACAAAAATATAAAAAGATAAAAAATCTTATTAATTTTTTTAATGTAGAAATGCAATTTAAAATTTCCAAAAATTTTATAACTAAATAATGTATTAAACCTTATTTTAATAACAATGAACTAAAAATTAAATTTAAAGGAACAAAGAGAATCTTAACTCTAATTCGATACAAATACAAAAATTAAAAATATATTTAATCCATTATATCAAATGGCAATCTCCGTAGCTTCAGTTATAGAAGGCCTCTATTCCTTTATTAAATGGAACTACATGGGCAAAGAATACAGTATAGCCATGAAGGAGGTAGTATTCAGTGGAAGAAAAATATACAAAATGTTGTATTTATAAACAAACTTCCAAAGCTATGCACAACAAATGACCTTATCAATATTTCACATAGCAAGAAAAAATTCTCTACATAGCAACCAAGAAAAAGAAAAATCTACTAATCTACTCGTACCCTTTCTTCAAGTTACCTAGCACGTGCAGAGAAGACTCTATTGTACCAAATAGAATGAAGTATCATATGAAATATATCATACTTGACAGGATTCTTGTGCCAAAGGAAATGCTGCTGAACCTTTTTGACCCTCATCTGCTTCCTAAGATACGTCTTTTCTGGGATGGAAAGTAGAATATTTTTCAAGTTGGGAATATCCTTCTCCAAAACAATAACCGCAAAGGATTCCCAATTCAAAACCTCAAAAAAGGGTGGCACAAAGTTGTCAGATATTATAACAGGAACACACTCATAGAAAATTGCTTCCACCACTCTTGGACTGTTCACTTCATAGCCTTTGGCACAAATGCAATACTTGCTGCTCTTCATGTACTGGATATAGTTCCTGTTGCCCTTGGACTTTGCCATTTTCCCAAAGATTTTCATGTCAGGGTCTTTGTTTTCCCAGTGCTGCAGCAAAATTGGCCTCACATAGCCATGCATGCTCCCTGCAAAAAAAGCTAGTGTTTTCCTCTTTGAAGCTGAATTTCCACCAAGATCCCTAGTGGGGATTTGAGCATTGCGGACGTAAGTTTCCGGAAGAGACGCATCTTTTCCGAAAAAAAATCCTTCTTTCACATCAGCATTACAAAGGGCCCTTATGCAGTTAGCCATGTCAACCTTTGTTTCTCCTGGTGCCTGCATAGTAGAGAGGTATCTTGTATCATGAGATAAAATTCTTGAGTAATGTGATAGAAAATGTCCAAGTTTATGTTTGTGTACCACAAAGAAAGGAGCTAGCCTTTTGTTTAAATTTTTAAGTAAAATTTTGAGTATAATATTGTATATGATATGATATTTTTAGAACACCCGTTTTAGGAAATTGCTATTTTGGCTTTGTGGATGAGCCTTGTTGCAACAGCAAGGCTGAATTCCTGAGACCTAGAGGTAATAGTTTCAAATATACCTCTTAACTACGGGAGCATTTGGTTTCTCTAAAGCGAGAAGAGTGCACTTTAGAGGGTGAAGTGTAGTAATAACCATTAATTAGAAGAGATCAAGGATTGAGATTGCAATTAAGTTTAAATTTTCTTATAGTGTATTTGATTTTATCACAACAGTTGATTGTGAGTGCATCTTTTTACTTTAGAGAAGTCAAATCCAATTAAGAGAAAAGTTTGTGTAAACATTTTAATTACTAAGTGTCAGCCACACACACTACAAACTAAGGGTTTGTTTGGGTAAACTATTCCAGAAGCACTTTCATGAGAGTAAAATAGAAAAAAAAAATGAAATAAGTTTCTCCATAAATTAAAATTATCTTATCCGTAAGTTAATTTGGTGAAGCTCTCACCTATTAACTTCTTCAAAATCTCATTTTTTAACTTACGCATAAGCTAGATTTAGCTTGTGGAGAAGCTTAATTTGATTTTCCTTCCTTTTTCTCTCTTCTATAAGTGCTTCCGAGAAGTTTATGCAAATAGGCCTAATACATAAATGACAACAATTGAAGCTGAAAAAACATACCCAGTCATGGCAACCAACAAGAAAATGGTCAGCACCTCCAGTTCTGTTCCAGAAGTTATATTTACCTGCAATCATATCTATATAGTTATGCAGATACTGAATCAGGTTCTTATGACTATGTGAACCCTGTACATACAATGCTTCCTCTAGCATTCGAGAACTGAAAGGTAAGTAAAACAAGTGTGCCTTATTTGGATCTCTAGTTACAAATTTTTTATTAGCTTCCATTTGCTTCATGAACCATCCCTCAGAAGCATAAATTCCTGTGAGAAATGGTGAGTGCAATATTGGTCTAGCTCCTTCTCTGTACACATACACTTTGAGAGTCTCTTCCATTAATTCATAGCTCCTGAAAATTTGACACTCACATGACTATCAGAAGGTGAAATATTGTAATTGCAAAACAAATTTCACTTGTTTCATCAGAATGTGAAAATAGATGTTCTCTGAAAAACTCTCACCATCGACAATTTTATTTCACATTGTCAAAAAATATTCATAGTTGGTAATTTCATGAATAGCAATATTACTTCTAGAAGATACTTCTCAAACTTATTTTTAAGGGGGAAAATTAATCAAATAATACCTCTTGAACATGGAAAAGTTTTGATAAATGGGAGCATAAAGATTTGGATCATTCTTTACAATTGGTGCATTTTCAATCTCTGATCTGGCCTGCAGTAGCTCTTGATCAACATCTGAATACCACCTTGGTCTCTAAAATAAAATTGAGAACATAAAAGCACAATGTTATATTGAAAGACAAAATACTCCCTAGTCATTATAATCAAGCAGAATTTTTAATCACATACCATAGATCGATATGAAGCATGGCTTTGAAGTAATAAGTTGTTCATTTCAGATACTGTTGTAACTTCTGGAATTGGTGTATGAGAATCTTTATTCTCAGCTGGGACACTGATCTTAGCATCATTTTGTGATGGCCTAACACCCTCTTCCTTTATGGAGTTACTTATGTTGTCTTTCTGAAATAAAGATACAGTGGAATCATTTGATAACACCGTGGCTATAATATTTGTGCTCACATTTGGCAAAGAGTCATATGAAGTTTCAGAATTTTGTTCAGTTCTTGATGAAATGTTGTCTTCTTCAGAATGGTTTGTAAAGAAACTCAAACCAATAGTATTGTTAAAACTGCTAGGTATAACATCTCCTATTAGCTGGATTTCAGGTACACTGTCTGGTCTCTTAATACTTTCCGCCACCGAATTTTGGTCAGACTCATCAAATCCTAAAGATTTGTTTGGTGTGCTTCCTGGTTCCAAGACAAAACCAGTTTTTGGAAAGGTGTCGTTTTCACGAGATATCAAAGTTTTATTAGCTATCACAAAGGACTGGTCTCCAGTACAGTTTGTTCGATTGAAAAATGTCACATTGTTAACCAATTCGTCTGAAGCCAAGAATGTGCTACTTCCTGCTGTTGGTGTCTTGTCATCAGAGAATAGAACAGTTCTGTATGGAAACTCAAGGTACTGAAATGTTAAGATCGCTGCAAATGAAATGCCAATGAGCCATAGCAATCTCTTTGTTTCCAGCTGAAACAAGGATAAAAATTCTTGACCCATTTAGTTGAAATTATTCAACTATGTCAATTGAAGGGAATTTGCAATTATTGTGCATAGCACCTCTGCAAGTAGTACAACAGAAAGAAACAATGTCATTATATAAGTTAAACAAAGATTATGCAAAATTTCGCTCTTTACCCTTCAAATGCATCCAATTGAAATATAGAGAAACACAGAAAATTCAACGACAACAAAAAGGCTAACAAAACCAAAGACTACACAAGAATTTCCATTAAGGGAACAGATTTATCAATTTCTAAACAAAAATGAATATACATTTTACCTTTTAGTCAATTTACTCAACTCAAATACAATTGTGGTTGTTTCTGGTGAAAATAAAGAAGGTTTCTCACAGAACCAACTTATCTGCTGATTTTAAAGCAAAGGCTAAGAAAAAAAAAAGATCAGAAAAACACAACAAAGGCAATATCTTCCTACCTCAAAACCTACCAAGATGTTATCCTACCATATACCAAACACCAAGCTAATAGTTTACAGTGATACGCAAACAAGCAAGGCACAATTCTCATGTCACCCCATTTAGCATGCAAATCCCAATTCAACCCACAAGCCTAATTCCAAACTACAGCCACCCCATCAACCATTTCTTCTAAGAAAATCATCAAGAACAAAACAGACCAAGAGCAAAAAAAAAAAAAAAAAAAAAAGAAACCACTGACAAGAACATATGAACACCTCTTTGGAAGCACCCAAGAAGAAAAGAATCTTGTGTTGTGCTTACTTGAAATCTAAAAGGTTCCAAGATTTGTTCTTTTTGTCTCATTCTTTCTTGCATGCAGCTTAGCAAACACCAAGGTGGGTTCGTGTAGAATTATTTATATTAATATTAATAAATAAAAAATTAAAAAAAAAAGAGAGTAAAATAATGGGTTGGAACCTTACGTGGCACAGACTCCGACGTTGGAAGTTCCTTCGACGCTCATCCGTTCACAACACGTAAACCGTAAGAACGTGACCGTATTTACATTTGTATCTATGAAGTTTCAAAGTGACACAGCTGAAGCTGACATGTTCAAACAGAAAACCCATTAGGCTGCAGAACGCCACCGCTCCAAGTAAGCCACTAGAAAATTCAATTCAACATTTCTAATAAAGAAAACAAAATGCTCTCGACTTAGTTTACTTTCTTTTGCCGTAGGTTGGATATTATGAAGAAAATTATATATCTACTATCTTTTTATCGCATTTCCACGTCATCTTTTTTCTTTCCATAGTTCTCTTTAATCATTGTGACATCATTTATTATTATTATTATTATTATTATTTTTTTCTCTCCATCTCTATTTTCTTCTGGTACAACCTCTTTTCTTCTATGTACATTTTATTCTCACCCTTATTTATACTAATATTAAATCTGATCCACTTTCTTCTGTAGCTATTATCACATCAAACTACACTAAAAACTAAAAAGTACACCCTTTATATTATTAATTTTAACTATAAAAATTACATAATACTATAAGTATTGTATATATATTATCCTAAAAACTACATATACAATCAGACAAATACTATAAGTAATATATATATATATATAATAGGAAAATACACCTGACGCATTGTATTTTTTTCTTTACATATATGATTATATAATAAGGATGTTTAATATTCTTCTTAAAAAAAAACAACTATTATAATATCAAAATAATAATAAAGGTAATATAAATCGTAACAACTCAATAAATTTTTACACTTTATATTTCAACAATTAAGTAACAAATACATTAAAGAAATCATATAATAATACTTAGATATTCACAAAACACATAAGTATAAGATGTAAAAAAATACAAAACAATTTTTGTCATTTTTGACTTGAAAATTTCAAGGTCCTTTTGGAATTACAATCAGACCTTGTACATATACACAAATATACATCTAGTATAAAAGTACTAAAAACATAAAGATTCTAACGTTGGTCAAGCGGCTACTACACAATTGTTGAATTAGAATAGCTCAACCAATAAAACACTTGACATCCCCATTATGACAACCAAAGTCCTGCTCACCCCCATTTTAATTCTATCATGCTCCCATGATAAATATGATTATCACAATTCAATAATAAGGATAATGCAAGGGTGGCTTGTAGACACCTAATTTCGCCTGAGGCACATAAACAAGGAAATGAACTTTTAACATAAGAAGAAAGAGCTCCTAAAGGCCCGAAAACAACATCAGAGCAGGCTAACATGACATCTAGAGGCCCAAAACGTAGAGGGCCAGAATTAGGAGCCCGGAATGGGCCATTCCCAAATCGAAATAGGCCGTTCTGAGCTTAGAAAAAAGCCTGTAACCCTAGGTCAGAATGCCCCGTTTTGACCTAGTTTGTTACATGCAAAACTAAAGTCCGGAAACAGGCCATTCCAATTTTAAATTTTGTGTATAACAGAAAGGCCCAAAACGTCCCGTTATGAATTCAAAATAGTTCGTTCTAGTAGATTTTCGTGCCTATAAATAATAGGCTCGCAGCACCAAGGGAGCGAAAAGAAAAGAAAAAATTGCTTACTGAAGTTTTGTATAAACTCGAAATTCTTTCTTTCTCCCTCCTTTTGTATTTCTGAAAAGTTGTGAGACACATTGTAGTGTGAAAGGCGACCAAAATGCGCCTCAAGTATTCCACATTTGAATAACACTTTATAAAGTTCGCTCAAGAGGTATTCCCACCAATCTTCTTTTCCATTTTCTACTTCTTTTATTATAAATACTACTATAACTAAAAAAGGACAATCATGTAGACGTTTTAGGATAAATAGGGTAATTTTAAGTTTAAAACATGTAAATAACCGTTAATAAAGGGAACCAAATATTTAAATTGTTATTCTCTATCACGCTAGTTTCACTATAATCAAGGGTACCAATCTAGGGCATTGTAAGGTGCCTAACAACTTCCCTACAAGTAACCGACCCCGAACCTAATTTTGGTTGTGAAGGCCAAATTTTTTATTTTTAAGAATCTCTTTTTTCCTTTTTTCGATGTTTTGAGCAAAACTTTAGTGGCGACTCCATGAACTATTTTCAAAAATCATTGATTAGGGATTAGTCTGGTTTTGGGGAATTCCCTAACCGATGAGATTTTCAAAACGAAGGTCCAAACCATCTCTGGGTAAGATCGGAATTTTTTAGGTTCCGATAGATGGCGATTCCACTAAGGAAGCTTAAGAGGGTCAGGCCCAAAATAAATGATGAAATTAGCACGATAAGAATAATAGTTCAAATATTAGTTCCCTTTACTTTATTTGTTTTGTATGCATTTTTATTTGGCTTTGATATCTGTATGTTTGAAATAAACAATTGTATACAACCCTTGCACACAACAGTTCCCTCTATACCTAAGGGCATGAGTGTGTAAACGTAGGGAGTGATTGATATACGACCGACTCAAGTATAGCCTTAGAGCCTACAAGCCTTATCGAAAATCACACTCAAGGTGATAATCTGTTACACTAACCCAAAATACTGCGTCAAACCTTAGAATTTGCCAGGTGACGGTGACAGAGATACTGTGTCCTTATAATAGGGGCACCTTAGGGCCCTTTAAAGACTAGTGAGGATTAGAATCTTTCTATACAAAACACTTTCTTTGACAGGGACCACAACCCATAAATTTGTACGTACTAATCGTAGGTGTATGTTGTTTAAGCATATGGTTGTTTCATTATTTTTAATTCAAATTGTTTGTTTTTTCTTATAATTCCCATAAGATAAAAATAATAAATATGCAAAGAAAAATGTATGTCACACATATGCATAGGGTTAGCAATGAATTTCTAACAGAAACAAGAATCATTACTTTGTCACATCGTAAAATATTACGGAAAGGAACACTAACAACTCATCTTTATAAGGATGAGTCACCGTCTTTGTTAGAAATCTACTTCGAACATACTCATTTAATAAGCCTAATGTCTACCGTTGTCCCTCAAAGGTGGCTTTTCAAAACTCCATACTCATAAGGGCTCAAAGAGTAAAAGCTATGGAAGCCTTAGAGGAAAGAAATCGCATGTTGAATGAATAACTTAAGCAGCTTAAGGAGCAAATGGCAAGAATGTGCATAACCATGAATAAGCTGCAACACAATGATAACAGTGCCAGTAATGTTATGGACGTTTCCAAGGATCACTTGAATGCCTTGGAAGAAAGATTTAAGAGTTGTGGAGGGCCACACCTTCGACGCTCAAGAGGCTATGAAAATGTGTTTAGTGTAGAATATACAATTCCCCACCAAGTTTAAAATCCCCGATTTCTAGAAGTACATTGGGACCAGTTGTCCAAAGGGACATTTGACGATGTACTATAGGAAGATGGTCGCTCACGTTGGCAATGAAAAGCTCCTGATACACTATTTTCAGGAGAGCCTATCTGATCTGCTCTCAACTAGTACATGCAACTGGATGGAGCAAAAGTCCAGATGTGGAAGCAACTCACTGACGCTTTTCTTTAACGATACAAATACAACATCAATCTAATTCCTGACAGGTCAGATTTGCAAAATTTAAGCAAGAAAGTGACGAGTCTTTCAAGGCTTATGCATAGAGGTGGAGAGAATTGGTTGCATAGGTCGAGCCCCCACTATCTGATAAAGAGACGGTGACAATGTTCATCAACTCCTTAAGTGGACCCTATTATGACAAGGTGATAAGGAATACTTCGACCCTTTTTGCCGATATAGTCACCATAGGCGAAAGAGTCGAACAATGTAACAACCCGCCTTAGGTCGCCACATCAACAACCAACTGAACAACACATAAGAATAATATAAAAGAAAGAAAAGAGAGAAAATGCCAACTACACTAAAGTGAAAATATTCAAAAACATGTAAATTATTTTCATCATATAAAACATAACTTTATAAGAGAGATGTCACCAGTAAGGTTACTACAGTCATCCCAAAAGATAATATAGATACAACATCAGGAAAACATCAAAATAAGACACCTTGGGTGCTAGTCAAGCTCTAAGTCTAGCCACTTCTCAAAGTAGCTACCAAAAGACTCCTTGCCATCCCAAAGCCTCACACCTGATCTGCTCCCCCACATAGTGAGATCATCACAGTCCACATCATGGAAATATAAGGGTTAGCACGTATAAAACCAACCATAGTACAATATAAATGAAATATCATCAAACCAGATATCCATCATCAACATTTATCCATACCAAGGGAATGACAACATTATTACATGTCATCTCCATGCCAAATATAAACAAATTCGAAATCCAATGTATACACATCCATGCCAATGCATACATATTATATAATAATAAAAAAACCATAACCATTGTATACAATCCATACCAAATGCATACATATTCCATATCCAAACCAACGTCACACCACTGTATAATCCCATGAAGTAGCCAACACACAAACCAAATGTTAGCCTCAACACATCCAAACCAAGTGTTGAATTTGTGAACATGTCACCTGCCCATGTCACACACCTAACCTCTCATGGAAAATATATAGTTGGATTACATCATCATGTAACCCTGGTGATCCTGACCACTTCATCCATCGATATGACTCGACCTTGCCGTCATACCAATAGAAAATAGAATGCTTAGAGGAGTACTTCAGAATTCACCTAGCATCTGAAGTGGTTTATTATATATTCTTTGGAAAAGTTCCATATTGGGATTCTCACCATGGGACCCCAAATTCCATATTTTCCCAAAGATTATATTTCGATCTCACCAAGAGATCTCCCAATCCATACCATAACCTTACTCCTCTAAGTCCTATTAGCTTTCCAAACCAAACACACAT